AATACAGAAAAAAATTACAATATATTTGTTATTTATTAGCATATAATTAACTAAAGATATTTTGTTAAAAAAAATTTAACATGTCAAATTTATTCGATCATTATTATTATTATTATTATTATTATTATTTTTCGTTTTTTTCATCATCAACTAATTGCAACCTTTTCAATGTTACTTTTTGTTTTTTTTAAATTAAATTATTTACAAAGACAAATAAGTATTATTGGTGACAAATGCTTATATTCATGACAAATATCATTTAAATAAATATTACGAATAGTACAATTGTCGAAAAGACATTAAGTCAGTTGTTTGTTGAAATGATTAGAGGAAAATGTCAATCTCTTCAAATTGTAATGTTAAAATTTACTGCAATGATTCATATTTTTTGGGAGTGAAATTTTTTCTTTTTTTTTTTACAAAGGTTGACACATAACTTTTAATTTGAATGTCCTTTCTTTTTTTTTGACATCAAAAAACAAAATAAATTTTCGTTCTATTCACTATTTCATTCATCTAACCAGTTAAATTTAGGAAAAAATTAATTAACTAATTAAAATTACTTGAATGTTATGCCGAAAATGGTATAGTACAGTTTAGTTGTAATCGTTATAAAAAGCCATCTACAATGACATTAATAAATTATTCCATTCGAACAATTCAATATAATAACTAACCAACTAAAATGTAATAATAATTTCTTTTTTTTTTTGAGGTTTCATTTGAAAAATTTTTGAAATATATTTTTAACATTAAAATAATTGTTGATAACTCATTGCAAATTTAATAAGTATTGGAATGTTTAAGTTAATTTATTTCGTATTTCACTTTTCATTTTCTAAATCAACAAATCAGCGACAAAAAAAAAAGAAAAAAAAATCACAGAAAGAAATGTTGACAAATGCACTGAGCAAATAACATATCAAATCATCTTTCATTATTTTCCTATCAACTACTTTTACCTCTTACTGTAGAAAATATCCCGCAAATAACCTAAATAATATTCTTGATAATTTAAATTGACGAAAAATTTTCGTAAATAAAGTCAAATATATTTTATATGCTTTCCTAATTTTAACCCATAATCTTGACTTTTACAAAAATGTAACGATTTGCAGGAGTTTATTTTACAAAATACTTACATGCTATGAATTGCACGACAAATTTTGCAAAACTTGCAGGACAAGTCATAGCATGTAAAGTACCTCATGATTGTACTTATATTATTCCGTAGATCGCTACTGTATTTACTGCGCCCTTTACATATTAGCCACATCAATTCTTAGCCAAACAAACTTTCTATTTCCCTATCCAACAAATTTGTTTTCATAGTTTTGGTAAGAAGATAAAATTAGACGTATACGTTTATCGCAAATGTGCTTTGTCTAATTGCGCCCAAGAACTTGTTCACGAAAAAGTTATTGGATAATATGCTATAAAAACATTCACATTATATTGGTTGATAGTGTTAGCCGATAGAATGATTCTTAGTTAGCTTAAATGTTAGCCATTAATTTTCTGGCGTATATTTTCGGCTAACAAATGCTGCTCCATTTTAATCGTTGCTCGATAAGCATTCCGTTTCTCGAACGATCTGTAATCAGTCACAGAACTTTATGCTGATAATCATTGGCTTAAATAAATGAAACGAATGAATGAGTAATTCCTATGTGGAATCCTTTCTGAAAGATTATAAGAAGAAAACAAGTCATTCTTCATTTCTTTAAAATCACGATGCATCTTACAACTCGTATTTAAGCCATCAAATTTAAACACTAACTCTTTGATCTTTAGTTTTAGTCATTCAAATGCTTCGCTTCTTTCACGAAACAATTTTGCACTTTCCGGAAGTTCCGCAGAACCATTCCGTTCCTATACTTTTTCATTGCGCTATGCGTAATTCACTCAACGTATTAATGTGAATGAATGAAATTATATGCATGCGTTTATGTGATTGCATAGTTATTCATCAAAGGATTAACAAATCCGTTAAATTAATTAATTTTTAAAAATGATGCAGAATACAAAACGTAAAACGTTCCGGTCAATAATCTCGAAAATATTGTTCGATTTTTTTTTACAACATTTAGCACATACTGTAGGATCGAATTTAAAATATTTGTTCAGGTTTATGGTAAAAACTTTCCGGAAAAATATTAGCATCCAATAGAATGCATCCGGATAACAGTACACAAACAAAAATAGATTCATCTTTCCTTCTTTCTGCAAAAATCTTTTATTATCAATTGTTATTTTCACATCGCGACATTCGTCTGTCACTCTCATCGTTTCCCATTTCTTTCCATTTAGACCACTGAATAAACAAAGCAAAACGATACGATGTCAATAAAGGAAGGATCATTGGTGGTACTTTTATTTTTATTCGGTGTTTCGGTGTGTTCACTGTCAACTCGCAAGCAAGAAGCTACTCATATGGAATCCGAGATACATCAGATGCCCCCTCGCCAGGAGATTTTATTAGGAGGATGGTCAGAACGCAATCCAGAAGAGGATGAAATACAGGTTATTCCTCTCTATTTTCCCACTTTATTCTTTTATAAGACGTTAATAGCTTCAGTATATTTCACTAGTAAATGACTCATATCCTTTACGTACATCTAACTTTTCGTTTTCTTCACTTTACTCTCAAGCACATAAATACCATAAATCAGTCATATCTTTCGCTTCACGTTCCTACGCGTTCATATAAGTTATCTGTAAATTATCCTGTACTCACCAACCTCTGTTGGAATGTTTGTGAAAACATTCTGCCAATTGCATTATGTGTTCTTTACGATAAATTTTGGATATTACGTAAAAATCATGCGCTAGTGCGATTTCGTGTATGAAACAATATAAGCTGATGTGCTCCTTATAAACTTCACTAAATAATTTGAAGGAAAATATATAAGTGGGAGATCTGAATCATTTAATAACATTTATTCTGTCCGTTCTATTGAAAGGTTTGAATTTCAAAATGTTGAAGAAATTATTCGGAGAAAGGAAATTTTCAAGCACTTGCTTTCTTCACATCATTCTTTTTATGCATACAAATTGATATTTACAGAAATTGTTGCTAAATGTTCTAACTAAAGTAAATCAACAGTCAAACGATGAGTACCATTTGATGCCGATCAAAGTGGTGAAAGTTTCATCGCAAGTTGTCGCCGGTATGAGATACAAGATGGATGTACAGGTTGCTCGGTCGGAATGTAAAAAAGTATGTTGCTAGAGTTTATCTCCGGAACTTTAATTGTCTATCATTCTTGAGGTCTAATGAGAAATGGCCGAAGGTGACATTTCGCCATAGGGAAGTGGGAAAAATGGGAGGGACAGAAAGAGAGAGGAGAATTGGAAAGAACAATTTCTGCGAATTATTCTGCAAATGCAAGATAACGAAACTTGAAATGCTCATTTACTTACAAGTTGTATGTCGCCTTAGCAATCAAATTTTCAGAGTTCAAAAGGTCAAGTTGACCTGAAAACATGTAAAAGATTGGAAGGGCATCCGGATCAGGTTTGTCAAATATAATTTCAGATTTCATGTATCGTATATAAGATAGAATGTGAAGGGTTATATAAATGAAATGTTATTTCGTTTAATTAACTAGACTACCGTTTATTTTGTAATCAGGCATTTGTTCTAAAACTTATTTAGCATTTATTTTATGTTTTCATTGTGTATTACTCATTTTTACTTTATAACTCTTTTCAGGTTATGACATTAGACATATGGGAAAAACCATGGGAGAACTTTTTGCAAGTCAAAATTCTGGAAACAAAAGTACTTTCGTCAGTATGATTCTCTTTTAGTCCCACTTTATATCGCTATCCCCAGTGTTTTCCCAGTATTTTTGTTATTTAGTTTTTACGACTTCTTTAACTACATTGTATAATTTTGTAATAATTAAAGTCATCTTATTGAAGTATAAATATTTGAAGTCAATAATGACAGTGTACTACCTATTTTGCTACCACTACGCTGCAGTATGATTATTTAGCTGTTTTGAGTTATGCTCTGAATTGGATTACTTGAGACTGTGATGAATATATATTAGAGGACTCTCGGAGTTGAGATTTGCGAATTTTTTTTTTTTAGCACTATCCCCTTTTACTTATATCTAGATTTCTTATCGGGTAGGTTCGTATTTCATACTTGTTTATGTCATTTGCACTTCACTTTTTGAAGAGAAATGAACTTGGGTGAGTTGTTTTACTGCTTCTAAATTGACATATTATGATGTATGAAATAGCTTCTAGCATTCATCTAAAACCAAACATAGTGAGTGCTTTAGTCATTTTCTTGAGTGAAGAAATCTTCAAATGTTTGAGTTTCAAAAGAGAAGAGATATATTGATTCCTATAGTGAAATGCATGGATTTGATGTTCATTTGTTTAATTGTAACATTTCTTTTTGCGATTTCGACAAAAAATACTTCAAGAGAAACCAATACAATGAACTCGAAGATGGAAAAAAAAAACAATATTTCAAAGTTCTAAGGAAAAAGTTGCGTGAAATTGTTATTCAGCGAGAACTTTGTCCGAAATATAACCAGACAAAAGAATTTTATTATTTTTGTTGTAAATGCTTTATTTTTTCGAAATATAGTGTAAACAGAACAAAAAAAAAAGTCTAGAAAAATTAATTGCCTGAAGTATTTACAAACCGTTTATTGATTACTGCAGCTGTGCAATTTTCTTTCCTTTTTTTTAAGAAATCACGAAATCAGTGAAGCACTTTTCACAAAAGATTTTTTTCAAGAACATTTCAAAATAGTTTTTCTTTTTGATAAAAAGAAAAATCATTATAAGTTTATTCTTCCGCCGAGAAATATCCAATCAAAATCATTTTAAAATTTTACTAAAAATATTATACTTATATTAATGGTATCAAATTTACATGAAAAATTCAAATCGATACATTTAACTTCAGCAAAAAAAAAAATGCTCCTAATGTAAAATTGAAGATCAATTTGATCAACGCAATTATACTACTATACAAATAATTAGTGAATTTTTAAGCATGTCTAGTTGTAAAATTTTATCTATAGCTTTTTTTTTCTTTTTTTGAAATTATAAATGAATAGGAACTAAAAGAAACGGAAAAATGCAAATAAAGAAATTTTCTTATCATCGAAAAAAAAATTTGTACCATTGAATTTCTCTCTCTCTCTCTTTGCTTATCACTTGCTATTGCATACATTTTGTTTTATCATTGATAATGATATAATTAGTGAATTTTTTAAGCATGTCCAGTTGTAAAATTTTATCTATAGC